TCGCTAAGCAATTTTTTTTCCCCCGATGGTTTTTTTTTTTTTTTTTTTACTTTTCACTGGCAAACGGAACACGTGACCAATCATGAGACAGCTTGCTGGAAATTTGCAACATGTTTTTTTTACTTTTTTTTTTTTGAACATCACATTTGCTGACAAACAAGGCAGTGAAACCTGTTTACAGAACACACAAGGGACTGAGCAACAAATCATACACAGATCAATATCTGAACAAAACAAACAAATCGAAAGAAGATATATATATATACATATATACATACACTGTATAGCCAGGGGATTGCAGCAAATTGACTGATTACAGATAAGAGACAACAATCAAACAGTGGTCAGGATGATGTGGCTGGGGACTGGTCATCAGAAACAAAAAGGACAACCTGCAGAAAGGTACAGGGGAAACAAAGAGCTCCAGGGCAACCTGCAGAAAGGTACAGGGAGAGAGGACATACTATGGGAGAGAGGAGACACACAGTTAGTGATGCATAATGGTGGCACATAGATGCGAGGAGAGGAGCTCAGAGCATCATTGGGGGGTCTCAGGGTCACCTGATCCAGCCCTAACTACAAGCTTTATCATAAACAAATGTCTTAAGTCTAATATTAAAGGTAAAGAGCCATTTGCCCATAATCCTGTTAACCAACACACACCCATGTAACCAAAAACATAACCTCCTTGGCAGAGGTAATAACCACACAAGAGCAGGAAGCAAGGAACAAAAATCCGCAGTCAAGGTGGACTAGAGTTTTCCATGGGTGGCTGTGGCTCATGAGGTAGGGCAGTTGTCTCCTGACCAGCAAGTTGGTGGTTCGACTCCCGGTCTCCCCGCATTCCTAAGTGTCCCTGAGCAAGACACTGAACCCCGAATTGCTCCTGGTGGCTTGACTAGCGCCGGTGCATGGCAGCTTGTCGTCATCAGTGTGTGAATGTTGTGTGTGAATGGGGTGAATGGTGTATCATCTCTGTAAAGCGCTTTGGCCAGTGCAACACACTGTGAGAAGGCGCTATATAAAATACAGTCCATTTACCATCAGGCCAGTCTTGAGTCTGTACAGGAAGTCACAGAAGGACTTATATTCTGCTGGATGTTAGTAAAATGCCTGTAAAGTGTAATCAAACCAAACCATTCACCTTCTACTCAGGGTCCAAAAAGCTGTTGTTTTAATGACAGTCTTTTATATGACTAACATGCTGATCGACTGTATGTTCATAGCCATGCTATTTCTCAAATATTGTGCCTGAAAATGTATTTGGGCTACATTTCTCATATAAAGCAGTCATATCAGTTTACTGCTGTATTTGAGCTGACCAGGCTTCAGAATCAGAATCAGCTTTATGGCCCAGGTGTGTCAGACACATGAGGAATTTGACTGTGGTAGAGCGGCTCTCAATGTGAGGAAAGGAGATAAAAAAAAAAATAATAATAAGAGTAAAGTACTTATAAATGGAGACCTGTACACATATACATAAAAAAAAATAAAAAAATCCCCCACTTTTGGGCAGTCTTATTCCTTCCTTCAAGCTCAGTTCCTCTACTAGAGGCCTGGGAGCTTGAGGGTCCTGCGCAGTATCTTAGCTGTTCCTAGCACTGCACTCTTCTGGACAGAGATCTCAGATGTCGTTCCTGGGATCTGTTGGACCCACTCTCCCAGTTTGGGGGTCACAGCCCCCAATGTTCCTATTACCACGGGGACCACTTGTGCCTTCACTTTCCACATCTTTTCTAGCTCTTCTTTCAGCCCTTGGTATTTCTCGAGCTTCTCGTGTTCCTTCTTCCTGATGTTGCTATCGCTTGGGATTGCTACATCTATCACTATGGCCTTCTCTTACACAAAAAGATATAGAAACATCACGAGTTAGAGACAGTCCGGCGTCTCCTTCTCATATCTTATGCTCCGCATGAATCGAGCACAAGTCATAACAAAATGAAGAATTCCATGTGTGTGTATGTTGTATGCGTGATGTGTAACTAAAACATTCATTCAGACATAATTCTTACACAAGATTAATACAAAAAATAACTGGTGTCAAGGTACCCTTCTCAGAATCAACATTATCTTCTAACCTTGAAGCAGAGCACACATGAGGAGACTTCTTACATTAATAACAGTCTAACACATTAAAGTCTAATAATTATCTGACTGATTTATTAATTTCTAAAAACTGTATATTAAAAAAAAACATTCCCCACTCACCCCACTTCAGGGCGGTCTTTCCTTCAATCCTCATATGCAGTATATACAGTATATATACACACACAGTCTGGATTCAGCAGATCTATATGTACAATATATATTTACAGGTATTGTACTAAGGGTTAATTTCCAGTCATACTGTTGTGGGTCAAGTGTTCATCAGAGTGACAGCCCGGGGGAAGAAACTGTCCTTATGCCTTGTTGTCCTGATGTTGGATGACCACTTCAGGTCCTGGGAGATAGTGGAGCCCAGGAACTTGCAGGACTTGACTGCTGTCTTGATATGATAGGCTTGATTTGATATGAAAATGAATAAATGCATTCATAGGGATTTTTGATCTGTCTGCCACTGCTTCACCTCTGTACAGATGTTACTGAAAGAATCTTCACATCCCACTTTCCAAAAGCTTTTGTGTCACTTAGTTAATACTTCATGAATTATATAATTTCATATTGTAGAGCAGAATCACAAATTGGCTGCAGTCTATGAGAGCTATATGTACTGTATGCTGGCTCTATTCAGCTGCTCTGATTGATAAAACTCACCATCACATTTATTCTGTTATGAGAATGTCACAATTGCTACAATTATACAAGACATGATACTTTTCTATAAAGCCCCATGTTGTTGATCCAGCATTTAAACCAAGTTATTTGTGGTATTTTTCTCTCTCGATTCTTTTGTTTTGTTCAGCTATTGAGGTTTGTGATTGGTTGCTCGGCTCTTTATGGGTTCTGTAGACAGTTTTACTTACTTGCCTTGTATGTTTGTAAATATGTTCAATAAAAGAAAAAACTTCTATTTCCTGGAGAAGCGTTTTAGAAAGAGTTCCGGTGTTAACCCCAGGCTTTCAGAATAAAACAAACAAAAAAACACTTTAAACGTTTTAAATGATGGCACAGTAAATTAGTATTTCATTTTCACAGCATGAAAGTACAGATAATGAATTATTGTAAAAAAATACTATGCATTATTTATTTAAGCGCTAATCAGCCAGCTAAGTTCTTCATTCAAATACCGTGTGGACACAGCGCTCTTATTTTGAAAGATACGTACTGCTAGCGTGATCAAAAATCCGGGAGGTGACTGACACACAGTCAGTCTTGTATATAGGTCAGTTTGTCACCTGACGACGAAGAAGAGTGACAGCTATTTTAAAAGCGTACAAGGTAAAACGCTTACACACAGACAACTAAACACCATATGCATTAGTGTACAGGAACTTATTCAGCTCATCTATATGCTGCGGTTTGTCATTTCAGTAGCTGACACCACTTGTTTCATATGTCACCTGCTAAACAACAGATTATGTTTGACATATCGTTGCAGTGGGACAAGCAGGGTTTAATAGCAGTCACTTGATCTGGACAGCCTCCAGTGGAAGAGATTGGTGTAGTTTGTGTCATTATATGTGAACCAACATATTCGCAAATGCCCCAGATATAGATTCAGCAGTGAACCTTGTTATCAGTACAGGACTTTGTTCGTCTGTAATGATAGTACCTGAATTGCCAGGGACTTTTCTAGTTATTAGAAAGACCAGAGGCAACAGGTGTGTGTGTGTGTGTGTGTGTGTGTGTTTGTGGTGAGGTATAAGCTATGCAGTGGTCATGGAGGTTTTATCCAGATCAATAATAAATAAAAATAAAACAGATTACTGACTCACATTGTTTGAGTCATAGCCTGTGAGGCTGTACCATTTAGTTTTATCCTAATCACTTTGTTGTAGTTTTCTTCTTTTTCAGTCTATTTTACTTTACTTTTATTCTATTTTAAATAGTATGGCATTCAGTACTAGTTGAGAGAGAGACAGTATTTCAATTTTCTGTATGTCATGCACATATAGTGAATCAACAATAAAAATCTTTGATCTTGATTACTATGTTATGTAAAACATATCTTTACTATTGGTTTGTGAATCAAGAAAATTTTACATGGCGTGGTGAAGGGGTGGCAAGAGGCTTTGGCTGGGTGGCATGAAATTGTGTTATCTGGGGATTTGCACCTATATCATTATATATCACAGACATATGAGGAAATAAATAAACTTATCTTAGTTTAGGGCAAACAGGTCAGTGGACAATGCAGTGAACATAGCACTGCATTACATCCTGCAACACCTCGACTCCCCGGGGACCTATGCACGGGTCCTCTTTGTGGACTTCAGCTCAGCGTTCAACACCATCATCCCGGACATCCTCCACTCCAAACTGACCCAGCTTTGTACTGATGCCAAAGTATGTGAAAATGTTGTGTAAAACGCCATGGGTTGTAGTGTAGTGAGAGAGAGCACACAATGGCACTGTAGTGTCTGACAGCGAACAAATGACCATTAATTAAATGTTAAAGTCAGACAGTTTTTCTTTGAAAAAAACAGTATATCGCACCCTAGAGCCATTCCTAGACCTTACTAGTCATTTTGCTAAAGTTTGCAGATGACACAGTGGTCAAAGGAAAAAAGAGATCAGGTCTCATTGGCCTGAAAATTTCTAAGTGTAGCGGAGGTTAAAAAGTTCAGCATTTTGAAAAAAAATGTACTAATGCCAAAGTATGTGAAAATGATGGGTAAAACGCCATGGGTTGTAGTGTAGTGAGAGAGAGCACACAATGGCACTGTAGTGTCTGACAGCGAAGTGGCCTCGAGAAGCCCCCCCCCCCCCCACACACACACACACTTTACCCTCCCTCACCATACTTGGCAGCACTGTATCAGCAGCAGTTTTTCTGGATGCTTGCAGCATACAAGCATGATCTAGCATGAGATTCAGACAGCAGAGAAGGAAAAAAGAGATTTGCATGTTGTGTTATTAGATCTAGCTGATGCCTTTGGTGCTGTACAACATCGTTTATTTTAAAGTACAAGACTTGGTTAAAAGGCTAGTGAGAGAATATTTTCAGGATATCCAGATATGTTTAACAACAGTTGCCACCCATAAGAGCGTACATGGATGACATGACAACTATCACCGCCACAGTACCATGTACCAAAAGGCTATTGGACAAACTAACTTAAAGTGAGCTAGAATGAAGGTGAAGCAAGATAAATCGAGGAGCATTTCAATAGTAAAAGGTGTGCTGTCTGATAAAAGGTTTTGTATAAATGATGAGCTGATTCCTGTAGTGTTAGAGAAGCCAGTCAAAGGTTTAGGTAGCTGGTATGATGCAGCTCTTAGTGATAAAGAGCAGAGTCAGGGCTCGAGACAGCAGGCAGTTGATGGGATTAGGAGCATAGAGGTGTCAGGCCTCCCAGGCAAACTTAAACTCAAACTGTGGTGCCTGCAGTTTGTTCTTTGGCCAGGATGGTTATGGCCACTGACAATGTATGTTGTACCAATTTCTAAGGTAGAGAAGCTAGAGAGAATGTTTAACATGTACATTAGGAAGTGGCTGGGACAGGATTTAGTCGAGACATATCTGGGAAAGGATACAGGAAAATTTCGGTAGTCATAGTCAATTCTAGAGATGATACAAATACAATACCTCCCAAACAAGGTGTGAAATGTTTGATTGATGGTTCTAAGCCCTGTTCTGAAATTCCACTCTCCCCTTCTTCCTGTACTTTCACACCTTGGGTGTTAGGTTTGGTCATCCTCTGTCATCCTGCTGCCTGCGCTGCAGCTTCCTGGTTCCAGGAGCTTATTTTGTTGAAGTTCCTCTTAACCCAGCCTGGCAGGGTCCAGGTTTACTGTTGTCAATTGGACGTAGCTGGAGCCTACTGAGTCATCACCAGGCTGTTTTATAAGCCGGCTTCCCAGACAGTCATTGTCAGTCTGTTGTTAGTGCTCCATGTCTTATCACTGCAGCTGTCGCAGCAACCTGGAGCTGAACACGCTCAAAACAGTGGAGATGACAGTGGACTTCAGGAACTCCTCCCCTCTAGGCGGCGCTACAGGTCACTGAACGCCATAACAACCAGACACAAGGACAGTTTCTTCCCCCAGGCCATCACTTTGAACACTTAATCCATGCTGTATGACTGAAAACGGCAGCAGCCCCAGTGCAATTTTCGGGTTGCAAAGGAGGGCAGAAGTAGT